TCAATTACTTTCACAAAATTTATAATTTTTCTTTTGTTTTTAAAAACTCTAATTACATGGGAAAATGTTTAAACACAAAACTCAAATGCTTCAGACAATCAATAAATGAGCTTTATCACCTCTGAAACTAGCTTCCATTAATCTTTCTGTGAGATTCACAAATGCAACATACAGTGATGCAATGCTTCCATCAAATCATAACTGAAATAAAAAAATCTCTGAATAAATGATCATATTTCAACTTATGTACATAGATGGGTGGTGTGATGAGGGAACTGATCTTTGAGCTGTAACATTGTCAGATTTATTTTCTTACTATCATTCTTTGTCTCATTTGCAAAAGGGAAGAAAAGTGTCTTAGAAATTCCCAATAAATGTCAAAGGTGTGGAGCTGCCTATTTAAATCTCCAGTATGTGTCCACAGACATTTTTATGCAATTATGACTTCAATTTACATTTTCTCTGACATACAGCCAGGTAAAATTAAGGTTCATGAAAAATCCTTTCAGTTTTCTGGAAAAGTCCCGGAGTTTCACAACACAAAGCTCTACAAAAGTTTTTACAAGAATGACCAACCAAAATGAAAATATTTTTAACATTTATATTTAGCACAGGAGCATCTTTTGTGCAGCAAAAGCATTATCTAGGTATTTTTTAAATGGATGCTTTTAAAACTGGGAGAGATCTATCAATGGACAGAAGAGAAAGAAAGACCACATGTTGAGTCCATGCTTGATAGTCTGTAAAAGTTATTGTGAAGTACCACTTGTACTAGGACTGCCACAGAGCTATTGGTTTGAAAGGTTAATGACTGCAGCAATCACAATTTCAATTTACAAGAAATGGGATGACAGGAAGCCAAATACAAATTGGAAATGTCCCACTGGGATGGCAGCTGAGCAACAATTCATCAACAACAGCACAGGAATATTGTAAAGCCAGAGTGCTGGGTACAACCTTTTCAGTCTGAGAAGGGTTTAGGGCTTATATTAAGCTCATTTTTCAAGGGTAGTATAGAAGCTTAAAAATGGCTAAATTGCCTAATATAGACATAAGTTCTCCCTTCATAATTTTCCATATAGTAGTTGTTATGTCATCTGAAGGTGTTTATCCCACCTTCTTACATTTTCTTTTGTGTATATTCCCTTTCATTTTAAATGTTGACTTTGAGTTCTACCAAAACAGCCATTGTCCCAAAGGCATTTCAATCATCTTTGAGCATTCTCTGCAATTATACTCTAGCTCTTGTTACACAGGGCATCAGCTCTGCTGCAATGTGATCTGAGACTTTCTAAAGCTTTCAGGTGTTTACATACACACAAAGATGCTCTGTGAGATCCTGTGCTACTTCTGCCTGGAGTTTGCATGTAATTTGTGCTCAGTGGAAAATCAAATTGATGATAAAAAAATCAAACTTTGTAATCATCAACACTACAGAAATGCAGGTGTATCTTACTTCTTTTTTTATCTGAAGTCAGCCAGAACTACTTGTAAGCATTTTGAAGTCAGAAATAACAAATAACTGGAGGTAAGCTGTGAAAAGTTCTGTTTATCCCTATCTCAGAAGAGACTTAAAACTCAACAGGGTTCAGGGAAATATGCAGGCTGGAGTGAGATTCTATAGACAAAAGCTTTTCAATTAGTACTAATGTGCTGTAGGATGCTGCTAATTTCATCTAACAGGACCACAACATCAGCAGAACTATCATAACTTAAGTTCATGCTTTAATTTATCTTGCTTTATATACTGAATTATCCAAGAGATAGTAAGACAGGCAAATATCAGGTGACAAGCATAAAGCATAGAGGTAGGATCTACACCAGATTTTGATGACATCATGTTAAATATGTGTGCCTGTGTCTTTCATTAAATCTTTTCAATAATTTCCTTCTTAGTGGAATGATTAAACAGAATATCACAGACTCAGAGAATGGCTGGGGTTGGAAGGGATCTCTGGAGATATCTGGTTGCACATTCCTGCATCTGTCCTGAAGAGGATCCCCAGGACCATGTCCAGAGAGGTAACTTTGGATATCTTCAAGCAGGAAGATGACACAAACCCAGTGAGCAATCTGGGCTGGTAGTCAGTCACCCTCCCAGTGAAAAAGTGTTTCCTGATGTACAGAGGGAACATCCTGTGTTTCACTTTGTGCCTACTGCCTCTGGTCCTGGCGCTGGGCACTACTGAAAAGAGCCTGGCTCCATCTTTACACCCTCCCTTCAGATATTTATATATGCTGATAAGATCCCTGCTGAGCTTTCTCTTCTCCAGACTGATCAGTCTCAGCTCCCCCAGCCTTTCCCACAGGAGAGGTGCTCCAGTCCCTTAGACATGTTTGTGACCCTTTGCTGGACTCTCCCCAGTATGCCCATACTTTTGTTTCACTGGAGGGCCCAGAACAGGCCACAGAACTTCAGATGTGGCCTCACCAGTGCTGAGTGAGGGGCTGGTGTGGCCTCCAGGGCTCCTTTGACCTGCTGGAAGTGCCTTACCTAAAGCAGAACTGCCTTACCTGCATAGACAGGCACATTTGCTGGCTCATGCCCAACAAAGCCAAGGCAGTGTCCAGCTGGGTGGCACCCAGGAGAAGTTGGTACACGAGCAGATGTGTGAAGCACACTGGCTTATGTGTGCTTGGAAATACTGGCAGGACAGCACTCAGCTGGATGACAATGCCAGAAGGCAGGTGGCCTGTGGCAGGCAGCAGAGGATGATGGAGCACGCTGTAAGGGGGACACAGTCCAAGCACAGACCATGGGAGACATTGCAGTGCCATTGAGGATCTGTACCCACCAAAGCCACTCCAGATATATTCAATAAAAGGTAGATATGTGTCAGGAAAGGTGAACTAATCAGCATAGACAAGATGCTCATAGAGCTGAGGTAGACTAGTCCTACCAGTTCTCTGAAGGGATTAGAGAGCTGTGATCTAGCACCAGTAGAAACTGTTAATATGAGAAATAAAACAAACTCCAACTCAACAAAAAGTTTGAAATCATCCATTTCTGAAATCTAATGCTTGGGCTAAATAATACTACTTTAAACTGATTTATCTTTATGACAGTCACTAGCCCTGGGCATGATTTACAACATTTTAGATCATAATTGATAACTTTCCAATGATATTATACACAAAACCACTGAAGTTCATGTCCATTAACTCTATCATCTAGTCAAGGACATGTTATACATGCATGTCTTGAATTATCATGTACTAAAAAGGAAATGAAACATATGGATAAAAATGTATTACCATGTCTTACCATCAACATTCCTTTGATGTAAGTAGAACTTACATCTTGGAACAAAAAAGCACATGAAGAGCTGGAATTCCTCTTTTCAGAAAATGCTAAAAAAAGGTATCAATTAAAATATTTCCTTATAACCTATTCTTATTCTCCATACTTCATTTTAAAGAAATGAAATAAAGAAAGAAATATCAAAGTTTCTTAGTTTCTGAAACTCTAAAAATAATTATTCTTGAGAAATAGACAGAAGGCTTATTTTATCCACTATACTTTGTACCTTTTTGCCTTAGATAATTAGGGACATTAGATCATGATTTGCAATGCCTGGAGAATATTGTCATTAGCAGGGGAATGTTCTCTGGAACCCTGAGGAAATGAAAAGCTTTTAAGAGCAATCACTGTTAATCACTAACATGCCAACATTATATACTTTCTGGAACTGAGAACAATACAGACAGGACACATTAAGTGACTCTCTCTTGCTTGCATTGTAAGCTTTTGATAAAAATATGTGTTTAAAACATCCCTTTGCATGTCTTGCTTTCTTTACAGAATGCAGGAGAGCTAAGAACTGCAAGATTTACACTTCTTGTACAAGCTATTGAAGATATCCTCTCTGATTCCATAATGGAGCTTCATTGTGTTTTTATTAACTCATCTGAGTAGTAAATGCCATAGGCAAGAGATTGTCCCTTTTCACCCAAGAGGGGTGAAAGAAAAGATAAACTATATATGGTGATAAATGCAATTAAATTAATCTTTAGCTTCATCTTAGCAGGAGACATAGCATCTGCACAGCTGCAATACTTACAGTTGAAATTATAGATTAAAATTAAACATTGATGATTATAATTTACTATTATTATTTTTAATATAATATTTCTTTAATATTTTTATCCAATGTTAACTGCATCCAATATTCCACATATTTTCTAATGAGATAAAAGATAGTAAAATAAATAGAGAAAAAGTATATTTTTAAGAAAACGGAGTTCAGTACTACTTACTAACATCTTTTGAGTTCTATTTCTTTGCTGCACTAACCATGAATGCCTTACAAGTCAAAGCCAAGCCCAGCACTACAGGGCAGCTGTACACACTGGAAAATGAATCAGACTACACCCATGGACTGGGGTCCTCAGTTGGGATCCCTGCCAAATAAAACATTGGTCCTGCCACTACATCACACATTTTCAGAAAAAAAAAATCACTCAGATCCTAGTAAAGGGATCTTAGAAGTTTATAGATTTGTAGAACTAGTGAGAACTGATGAAGTTATCTACAGCTGTTCATCAAATAAAAAAGTCATCTAGTGCAGTAGAAATCAATTACTTCTTGTGACAGCTCCTGTGAATACAAAAATCAAGATCTTTCTTCTTACTGACCAGATTTTTCAGGACTCTTCCATTTTTGCATCCTTAGACAAACAACCTCAATTCAACTTTCAATTTGTCTTTGAACAAACTACTATATAAATTATACTTACTCTATTAAGAATAAGCAACTAACGTCTCCTACTAAGTTATAATTATTTTCCCCTTGATGCTATTTCCTATTTGCATCTTATGTTCATTAAATAGTTTAATGACTTTAGACCAATTGTTTCAGAGTGATTGTTTCCTCATCTGATCAGATATGCAGTATTTAGCTACTGAATCTCATGAGCTGTACTGCTAGTCACTCTTACATAGCTGAGACTGCAGTGGCCAATCCCATAAACAGATTGCAAATACAAAAAGGAAGGGCTTACATTCTTGAAACCTCTATATAAGATCTGAAGTTCCTTCTTTGTGAATTTACTCTGTGCTTCCAGCAGTTCAAGAGCTTCAGGTCTATGTCGTACTGTGGCCATTTCCATTTCATCTTCTACAGTGTCTGCAGAATACAAGAGACAGAGGAGGAAAGCTCAATAGGAAATACAGGAAGTGAAAATACTTTAACCCTTTCAAAAAGACAGAGAAGAAAAAAGGAAAGAGGGAAGAGGGAAGGGAGGGGAGGGGAGAAGAGGGGAAGGTAAGGGAAAAGGGAAAAGGAAAGGGAAAGGGAGGAAGAAAGAAAAGACATTCTCTTTAAGACTTGTTTTTGCAGCTTTAATGACAAATGATGAGTCCATTTTGAACTCATAGGAAAAGGGTGTCTATCATCTGCTTCTGTGGCTGCAAAGAATAGTGAACAGCAGTGATGATCCAGTAGCCTGCATATTATCTCATGAGTAATAATACCAATAAACTGGAAAGACAACATCCTGCAAGAGCATGCATGATACATTCAGTATGACTTTTTGTTTTGTACAACTCTTTGACCAAAGGAAACAATTTAATAAAACTTTAGCAAGTCCAGAAAACTGAAAATTTTCCTTCAGTTAGATAATGGATGTGAATTGACTGTATCAGGCTGGGATTTTTATTGTGAAGTTGTCTTCTGGAAAGAAGTTGTCTTCTGGAAATTGGTGTTGCATATACAGCAGCATATCTTACTTTGAGTATCATACAACTGACCCTTTAGGAGAAATATTATTGAGGGTGAGCAGCCTAAGTGGGGAACATGATAGTTTTAGTGACCTCTTCTTTAGGTAAGTAAGAATGTGGATATGCACATTCAAGGTTTACAGTTAAGTGTAGATTAAAACAATGAGAATTAGCAATGCATTTTTTCCTAGGTAGAGTTTTAAATTTGAACGTTCAATGAAACAGCTAAAGGAACTTTAACAATAGAGTGCCAGTCCCTTGTGATCAAAATAAAAAGGTGCATGTCCATTTCTAAGTACTGGCAACCTTAAATGTAACTTATCCAGATTAATGAAATGAAATTACTGCTTTATTTCGATTTAGGAGTTATAGGAACTATAGCAATATAACAATACAAATGCCTAATTTCACTTCTACAATGTTGAAGATACATATTTTATTTCATTAGAATGTGGGACTATTTAATCTTAGAATAAAGTTTCATTTGGTTCAATATTCATAAACACATAGTATTAGAATACTCTACTAAAGTAGTATTATGCCTACAGTTTCATATATTTCTGTTCTGCTATAAAGCAGAAATAATAGCTTTCAGCTGCTTGGGAGAAATTTGGCATCAGAAGATACAGTTCAGCTAAACAAAAAATAAACAACCAAATAGTTTATATATTATTAAATATCTCTCTTTAAAGAGATATTTAATAATATATAAACTATTTGTAAAAATCTTCACAAAATTTAGGGCTTTGTCCTTTCTCCTGTGAAAATTATGTTGCTGTTAGCACTCTTCTCAGGAGGATGATCTCAGTGTGATCCAGATGAGTTTTTTTGATAACCACAATTCAACACTAGGTATTTAGACTAAATTGGCAAAAAAATCAACCTGAGAATAAATATTGTTGAAGGCTCACTTGTATTTTATATTTGAATGGTTACATGGGATTTAAATGGGTTTTGTTTTTAGACAGAAAAAGACTTGAAATGAGTTCTCTAAGCACCCATTTGTAAAGCATCTGGCTACCTAGAGAAACATCTACAATTTTTTCTGGAAGCTAAATGAATACACATAATAAATGTGAGGCTAGAGATAAAGGCCAGACAATGTGCTGAGCACAATATTTAGTATACCCTTAGCAGTAAACATTTTTATTGCCTTTAAATGATTCAGTGAGCATGTAGAAGACTGCAGTAGGCTGATGATGTTAATGAAAAGGTTCAGTATAACATTCTTTACACTCCACTTCTCTAGTGTCTTATAGCTAGAAATAATAAAAATGCATGACAATCATAAACTTCCTTAAAATCAACCAACTGTGATAACTAAAATGCTATAGCATTCATGAGGCATTTGGTTTTTAATTTTTTTCTTCACAGTTCTAGACAACAGGCTGGAAAAGAAAAATCAGAAAGATCTATACTTTAAAATATGCAGGAAAGTGGGTGAAAATCTCTTTTTACTATTTATATTTTTATCTATTTCTAAACAATAATGATTTCTATGGCATTACTTATTTCAGTTCCTTGGTTTATTCAGCCTAGATCAGTTAGGAATACTTTTTTTTCCATAGAAATAAAATTTCATGTCAACTGAAAACCAGAAACAAGTTCACAATCCCTCATTAATGTACTAAACAAAATATTATTACTGATTAAATTAATTCGATTTCTTATTACTAAATAGTAAAGACATTTTTAATGTAAATGTCATAGGAGATATACTTTGAACCTTTCATTATTCATTAAAGAACAAGATGGCAAAAACAAAGCAAAAACACAGCAAAAAACAAATGTATTCTATATATCTGTACTCTTTATATACTCTTTATGTACTCTATATATCTGTAAAAAATTGTGCACATGCATTTCCCTACACATTATAGCCTCCCTAACCATTTAATAACTATTTAGCAGTTTTTATTTCTCAAAACCATTGAGTGTAGCCCTGCCCTAGTGTACTAGCACATGCACATATCTAGGGAATGATGGCTTAAAGTTTAGACTTACTAGACTAGAGCACACAAAGTGTTCTTTCACATGCTTTTTTCAATAGGAATGCTGAAATATGTTCAATGCAAATGCTGAGACAAGATTTTACATTTTTATATAACCTTTGTAAGCACATATTGATAGAAGTGAAGAAGTGCAAATTCAGGCTATGAATATATCAATAAATTAATTGTTAAAAATATTTCCCTGATAATTTCTAAGGAATTCACATCATGTGATTGCTATTGCAAGTTGTGCTGTTTTCATTCCTAGAACAATATAATGTTGCTTCTTTCATGCTAGCAGAAATGAAATAGCACATGATGTTAAAATAGAATAATTACAGTGTATATCTACAATGATAATCTTATTCAAGGTTTTCACTTGATATAACATTCTTACTTAATGTAGCACTTATTTATGGAGGAGATTGCAGAGAAAATTATTGAATGCACCTTTTTTACTGCTGGTTCTCAAATAGGAAATATTTGATACTCATTTTAGTTCAACATCTCTTCTGGTTTGTAGAATACTTTCAGTAAGGAAAATATAAGTTTGACACGTTCAAGATTTCTGAGACTGACTCTAAATGTATTTTGTTACCTGTGCAGATGAAGACCTTACATAGAAATGTGCAAGGAATAAGGATGTGTCACTCCCACAGCAACTTCAAACAAACAGATCAAACTTTCGATTAATTCTATTTCATTATCTATTCCATTCCCCATCCAAGGAAATGTTCAGGTTGGATGGGACTTTGAGAAACCTGGTCTTGTGCAGAAGGACTAGACTAGATGATTTTAAAGGTCTCTCTTCCAACTCAAGCAAACCTGTGATTCTCTGATTCCTTTTGTTGTCTAGGGCTATATTGTTCAGGTCATGCAGCTGAAAGTAACTTATCCAGAAAGAGTTATTAACAAGTGCCCCAACAGTAACTGCAGTTTTTATGATACCTTATTTTCAATTAAAACATATCAGCTGAAGACACCATGAAATAAATAAATCAGTGTATATCCAGGAATTTATCCCTTTTCATCTCAAATACTTAAGTGGAAAGCAAACACCAGAGTTTTCTCTACAGAAGAGCATATGAAAGACAGTGAAGGGGGATAGCATTAAGAAACCCTAGATCTACACCTGTGAAGTCTTGACATTAGTAGGGGTCTGTATTTCTAGTCAAGTTGCTTTTGGTTGTCCTAAATTCACTAGACGTGGGGAACTGTTCTTGCAGGCCTTTTTTTCTTCCTGAGATTGACTGATATGCTTTATCAGAAGATTATACAGGCAACACATGGACAATTCAGCTTCTTATTTTAGGTGCTCATATTAGTGCCTAGAATTCAGTCAAATTAATCTAAATTGAATTGGATCCAGAGAGATATTTTAAAATCTGCTATAGGAGTCAATTTATATAGGAAGATTTTGTAGTGTTATTACTATAATTAATCTCTATCTAGGAATATATATGTATCTATGTATTGATCTCTCTCTTACTCCCACTGCCCCTCTATATTTATCTGTTACCTGCTCTGGAGAGATTTTATCAAGACATTCAGTATAATACCAGTGTGCTTTTCCTGTATATTCACATTCACGTTCTTTTCAATCTCAACATTTCTTTTTCTCTCAGACACCAGGTTTAAGTCCTGTTCCCTAAATAGTTTGAAGCTCTATATTCAAAACCTGCAGGTCCAATCCTTTCCTCCCAGACCTGTTATGATGGTACCCCCTGTGTATTGGATAGCAAGCACACGCAGTCACGTGCATAAAAATGCCAAAAAGTTACCACTTTTCAAATATATGGAGAGCAGGTATTAAATTTAATGGAATCACTTGTCAACTAACTTGCAGATCATAAGTGCCAAGTGATAATCTTTGGTTATCCCCTCTGCTGCAATTGCCAAGCTCCTGTGTGGCAGACTGTGGCACTGTTCTCTTGCCATCCTACTGCATACACAAATCTGTGCAGCGCTACATTTTAAACCTCAATAAACCATGTGATTACTTCAGCAGATATCTCGCCTCTCAAATGACCAGTTAATGAAAGTATAATTTTTGATGCATGCAAACCTAAAAAAAAAAAAAAAAATCAAATGAAAAAAAAGAAAAATAAAACTTGCTTTGAGTAACAGGAGATGTCGTTTTGGCAGCCGAGCAGGGCAAGAGCTTCATAAGTCGCTCTTTAATGCTGCGTTTGGTACTGTTCTGAGCGTAGAGGAAACCTAAAAAATATATCATCAGGACTGTTAACAGAGGCTTGAGAACAATTTCTGTACATGCTGCAGAGTTCATCATTAGAGCAGAATGCTGATGGGAAAAGGCCAAACAGATTGCAGCCACCATGAATCGCAAAGGGCAACCAGAATTTTTGAACAGGACAACAAAATTGTTTTGTCTTTGTATCTTTCCAGCATCTTTCCA